TATTACGATGTTTGCCTAACAATAAGCTCTCTCTTGCCTTTAGCTCCTCCTAAACCATTATGTCCCTATTTAGCTTGAACTCCATGCAGGTCTCTCTCTCTCTCTCTCTCTCTCTCTCTCTCTCTCTCTCTCTCTCTCTCTGTGTGTGTGTGTGTGTGTGTGTGTGTTGGAACAGGGAGGAAAGCTGTGACTCAGATGTCTAGAAATCAGAGTCCAGGGGCACCACTGAGTAGTTTCTGTTGCTAAGCAATGTAATCCTTTTCCACCCTGGCTCTTCAACAAAGCAATAGCCGTGGTCCAGCATTCTTCTCAGGCTGTAGTGCCCTAGGATATGATGTGTCACTGAATATTGTTTACCAATTCGCTATTTAGGACATAGGGTCCCTTCTGGAGGAGTGCTCACTTTTGGCATATAGCCAGTCATGTGCTAGTACACTAGTCCTCCAAGGGGGGGGGGGGGGATCCATGATTTGTGGCACATGCCAATTTTGTGATGTAAATACTCCCCCCTTTGGTGAATTTCAAGCTACCAGCAGTTTAAGCTGCTCACATAATTCCTGAAAATTTAACAATCTATTCTAATGAGCTGACACAATCTGGCTCCAGCACACTGCTGCTTGTAGTAAATCCCTGAGTGGATGGGAAGAGGACAAATATAAGTAGCCCCTTATGGTTTCAGGGGCAAGGCCTGACTCATAGACTATTACAAGAAATTTCCTAGTGTTTAGATGTAACCTCTGATGAGTAAAGAGCAATTGTATTGCAGATGGGAAAACGAGGTTCAAGGCTTAGTCTTCTTAGAAGTAATGTATTTATTTTGTTGAACCTCATTTTTAATGGAAATTATATTACCCACCTTCACAAAATGGTTGATTATCTAACAATACTTACATAGCACTAATTACCTGCTAGGAATGAGACAGACCAGCAAGCCAGGACAAGTGTAATAGGAAAACTGAGACAGATAAGGGAACAAGCCAGCAGAGCAATTTACAGCCCATACAGAAGGTCACCTCCCTAGAGATAGCATCTAGACCTCAGTTGTATTTCAACTCCAGACCCAGAAAAACAGCAAAACCAGGTCAGTGAGACCAGGACCAGCTGCAATGACTAACGACCTCCAGCCCTGACACTGATCAATCGATGAAGACCACGACCCTGAAGGAGCACACCTAGAAAACTGATGAATATTCTGCTGAAACCCTCCCCTGAGACCTCCCCTAAGATTCCCGCCTTCAAGAAAAAGATAAACCCTCAAGACAAAGTACCCAGGGCTCACTCTCCCTATAGGGAGCAGCCTGTGCCATTCCCTTTCCCCTCTTCTTCTCCCACTTCTTCCCTCCCCACAGGCAAGCATCTCCTAAACCCTTAAAAAAAAACAAAAAAACAAAAAAAAACACTTTGCTTGCAACCAGGGGAGCAATGGGCCGTGGCAGCTCATCCCAGGCTAATCCCCTGAACCTGCTCCCAAGGCTCCCTTTGCTCTGACTTCCCAGAGAGCTGAGCCCAGCAAAGTCTCTCCTGATGCTTCTTCTGTGCTAAGTCCTTTCTTGTTTCACCCTCCCCAGCTTTCATAAATGCTCCCTCACAGTCACTTGTGAAATTTTTCCTGCATGAAGTCAAGAATCCACACACCATTGGCCAGCCCTGGGCAGACCCACAGGGGGCCAGATCCCCTTTTTGGTAGCAATAACTGTTTAGTACTTTACAAACTTACTTATTTAATTTTTATAACAACACTGAGTGGTAAGTACTATTATCAACTTAAAGATGAAAAGACCAAAGCACATAGAAATTAACTAAACTATCTAAGGTCACACAGCTACCAAATAATAGAGCCAAAGTTTGAGCCTCACTCCAGAGCCCATGCTTTTACCCTTTAAGGCCCCAGTCAAAGCCAGTTACCTATTTTTATAGAGTTTTATCAGAACAGACATGTTCATTCATTTACATATTGACATGTCTGCTTTTGTGTTACCACAGCAGAATTGAGTAGCTGGGATAGAGACCACATGACCTACAAAGCCCCAAATATTTGCTATCTGGCCCTTTACAGAAAACATTGGCTGACCCCTGCTCTATGGTGTCCTGCCTGTTTGTATGGGTGAAACAATAGTTATTATTAGGAGCCGAGTAGTCCCCACATCCAAGCTGGCTCTGAAGTTGCATTTTGGGCCGATAGTACAAATGAAAAATAATGTCAAGATTGTAACTTGCCCTAGCTGGTTTGGTTCAGTGGATAGAGTGTCAGCCTGTGGACTGAAAGGTCCCGAGTTCAATTCCAGTTAAGGGCACATACCTTTGTTGCAGGCTTATCCTCAGTGGGCCCATGCCCTGGTCAGAGTTCGTACAGGAGGCAACCAGTTGATGTGTTTCTCTCACATCGACTTTTCTCTCTGTCTTTCCCTCTCTCTTCCACTTTCCCTAAAAATAATCAATGGAAAAATATCCTCTGGTAAGGATTAACACACACACACACAATTATAACTCTATCCTAACATTTGTACTATAACAATAGTGTCAATAAAATAGCATTCAGGTATAACCAGTTACAAATGACCCATGGAAATGTGTATTAGCAGAAACATATATCTAACTTCATGTGACCCCAATATCTCAGAGTTGAAATTAATTCAGAGATTTTTCATTCCAACCTTTGACTCTCCACTTGGAGATACTGTATTGGGTTTCTGAAGTTAATGCTGTAAATCCCTTATGATCACCTCTTGAGTGCTGCAAGACAATTCCCCTGGATAAACCTGGGATTTCTGCACAGCAGAACAAAGGCACCTCTTTTGTGGAGTTCAGGTAGCAGGTTTACGTCTACAACCTGTCTTTCTGTCTCCAGGCAGCCTCACCATGTGGCTATTTCAGATACCAAGCAGACAAGTTCCTCAAAGCCTATCACTCACTGACCTCCTGTACAGTCGTTGAAAACTTTCCTGACCTTTGCAGCTACTTCCTGTAAGCCTCTCAGGGACTACTAGTCACTTGTAACCTATTTTCAGATCTGGCAGTTCTGGCTTCTAGAGCCGACGAAGAACAAGCCCAGCTGCAGGTGGTCGAACGTTTCCTGTGCTCTCCTGGCAGCAAAAAAAGAATTGTTCAGTGACATGCCTGTAGGTAGTAGCTCTGACAGGCTCCTGATCACCTCTCTCAGGCCAGTAGATTGTCATTGCACTATGAACCACACAGCTCAATATCTCCAGAAGATCACCAGAAGGCTATTTGTTATCTTCTGTTTGCTAAAGACAGTTTTTTCCTTATACTAGTAGTAATAAAGAAAAAGAACCCATTTGTTCTTATTGTTGCTGTTTTTTCCCCCTCTCAAAGCAAAGATGCTTCATTCAGAATTGGTAAACTAACGCAGTATTGATTGAGCTCCTATGTAGAAGATTCATTGTCAAAGAATGCCTTTCATAAACATTTCAAAACAGAGTTGATCCAAAACATCCCTCCATCACGAGGTTACCTTAATGTAATACAATCTGGGAAGCAGAGTACAAACATCTTGAGGTTCTGAAAATTCCCCAAGAGCTACAGGCAGAAAGCAAAAGAGAACAATGTTTCACGATGGAGACCACCAGAAACATCTTGCTGTTCCCAGGAAGTTCTTCCTCACTAAACTCCTTATATGTGCTTAAATTGTTCGTATTACCAGCAAAGACAACCAAAATGAAACCTCACGGAGCTTTACTAAAAGTTCCCTTTATAATCTTTTGAGCTCATATGATTTTTAGGGTATCTTTAAATAAATTTATAAACTTAGTTTCATTTTTTGAATAATAATAAACTTAAAACTAAGGACCCTGTTGTGTAAGGGAGTTCCCATAAGGCTGACACCTAATTTGTCATTAAAAAATCACTGATATAGGCCTACTTCTTCTACTCTGATTGATCCCTGACTCTTGCAAGGAGGGCCAAATTTACTGGAAAAAATATTAAGAATTTTAAGCCTCCTCCCAAATTTATTAAAACTATAGGCTCATTTATAAAACAAAGATCTCTAATATTCTTCCAAGGATTACCTAATAACCCTTTCTTGGGTTCCTGAAATACTTGATTTTATCTTTTCATTAGAAATCATGTGTTCCAACAAATAAAAATCATGCCCAGCTCCACCCTCCTCCATACCAATTCAAATAGTCACAGAAATAATTACAAGTTCCAAGAGAGAAGATAGTCATATTTAACTTTGCATCACTTATTACTGACTAGTGGCCTGGTGCACAAAATTTGTGCACAGGGTGGGGGTGTCCCTCAGCCCACTTGCACCCTCTCCAATCTGGGAACCCCCCCCCCCCCCCCATCAATATAAACTGGCAATTGGACCAGTGTAGGACCACTGGCTCCTAACTGCTCACCTACCTGCCTGTCTGATTGCCCCTAACCACTCTGCCTGCCAGCCTACTTGCCCCCCAACTGCCCCCCCACCAGCCTGATCACTCCCAACACCCTCCCCTCCTGGCCTGATTGCCCCTAACTGCCTCTTCCTCGGCCCTGCCACCATGGCTTTGTCTGGAAGGACATCCAGAAAGTCTCCTAGTCTAATTAGCATATTACCCTTTTATTAGTATAAATCTGTGGCCTCCATGAAGTCAAGAATTTTCTTGATGTTGTTCATTGACTAGAAAAATAGCCACCAGATAGCAGCCACTCAATAAATATTGAATAAATGAGCCTATAGTTTTAATAAGTTTGGGAGGAGGCTTAAAATTCTTAATATTTTTTCCAGTAAATTTGGCCCTCCTTGCAAGAGTCAGGGATCAATCAGAAAAGTAGAAGTAGGCCTATATCAGTGATATTTTAATGACAAATTAGGTGTCAGCCTTATGGGAACTCCCTTGTAGGTAACAGTTTTCTTTTCTCTTGTTGCCTTTAAGATTCTCTCTTTGTCTTTAACTTTTGGCCTCTTAATTATGATGTCTCTGGGCATGGACCTGTTTGGGTTATTCTTGTTTGGGGTTCTCGGTGCCTCCTGAACTTGTGTGACTTTTTCCTTTATCAGGTTAGGGAAGTTTTCTACCACTATTTCTTCAAACACTTTCCCTATGCCTTTCTCCCTTTTTGCCTCTTCTGGCACATCTGCTATTTATTGTTACATTTCACATTGTCCCACAACTCCCTTAAGCTGCCCTCCTGTTTTTTAATAGATTTTTTTCTTTTTGGTTTTCTGACTGAGTGATTTTTCAACCTGTCTTCTAATTCACTGATTTGATCCTCAACTTCCCCTGATCTGCTGTGTATTCCTTCCAATGTGTTCTTTATTTGTGTTAGGTCATTCTTTATCTCAGACTGTTCTTTTTTCATAATTACTATATTTGTTTTCATGTTGTTGAGCATCTTTACCATCATTCCTCTGAACTCTGTTTCAGATAAATTTCTTATCTCTGCTTCATTTATCTCTTCTTCTGGAGAATTCTCTAGTTCTTTCATTACCCTCATTTTGGCTTTCTGTTTGGGTTGGTGACTATGTATTAGGTAGATCCTTTACACCTCTCAATCTCTAGTGAAGACTGTTTCTGACTAATTATATCAGACATAGACTCAAAGCCTCCAGAAAACCGCCTCCACCTACAGACTAATAGGATTCCGACTTGAATTGCCCCCCAGGCAATCATCCTCAGATGTGGCCAAGAACTTTTTTCAACAGAGTGGAGAAGCTGCTTCTGCTTGAAACTAATTATTATTTTTAATGTCTTAAGTGGCCTCAGGGGTGTTTCCCAATAGAGTGTGTCAACTGTCTTCCCCCCAAGGCAAGGCAAACGTCTATGAGGGAAAGATGTCCTCCACTGTGTGAGGAATGACTCAGCCCAGGAAACTTAGGGTGTCTGCCTTCTGAATGCTATCCCCAAATCCCCTGTCCTCTGCTCTCAAAGCTCCAGTCCACTTCACTGTCCCTCTGCCAGAGCACCGGGTGGGTGGTTCCATGGGGAGTTTTGTGTGTCTGCCCTTTGAGAGGGTGCCTGAATTTTCAGCTGTTACTTTCTGACAGACAGCGCCCCACGGCCAGATGTTATGTGAGTATCCTCCTCAGTTTTGGTGTGTCAGCTGGGGAACGCAGCTTGGGGACTAGATCCCAGAATTCTCAGTGGCAACCCCTCAAAGCCGAGTTATCTCTCTGAGACTTCAGTTGCTGCCTGTGGGTGCCCGGCCAGCCCCTCCTACCAGTCTCTATGCGGTGTCCACTTTTGGTCCTTGGATATCAGGGTTCTCTCCTGCAAGTTTTCCATTGATAATTCAGGAAGTTTTACTGTATTTTAGTTGTAATTCCAGTTTGTTCCTGGGAGCATGTCCATGCAACATCCACTTACTCTGCCACCATTTTTAATCCCTCTATCAGCGATTTTTATCCAGTGTACTGCAATAATTATTAAAACATGCAGTACCTGTCCTAACTGGTTTGGCTCAGTGGATAGAGCATCGGCCTGCAGACTGAAAGGTCCCAGGTTCAATTCTGGTCAAAGACATTTACCTTGGTTGCAGGCACATCCCCAGTAGGAGGTGTGCAGGAAGCATCTAATTAATGTTTCAAACTCTCTATCTTTCTCCCTTCCTCTCTGTAAAAAAGCAATAAAATATACTAAATAAATAAATAAATAAATAAATAAATAAATAAAACATGCAGTATCTGACTATTTAATCAGAGCACTGACCTCTTTTCCCTTAGATTGTTAAATAAAAAATTGACAATAGCTAACACAACAATAGCCATCCATTGTGATTGCCCTATCTTGAACCATAATTATATAAGTTTTATAATAGGGTTGCATCTGATTAGTTAATTCTTGATATCAAAAATCCTTATATGCAAGTACTTTATAGTGTGGACTTTTGGTGTAAGTCTCCCCAAATCCCAATATTTATTTAGAGGATTGATCCAGGATTTTGGACTAAGGTTCAATATTTAATTGTGCCTTCATTAAATTAAATCAAAGTTTCTCTACATTGGCATTATAGATATTTTGAGCTGAATCATTCTTGGGGTGGGGGTGGGGCGGGGAGAGGAAGGGAGAGGAGGCTATCCTGTGCATTGCAGGATATTTAGCAGCTTCTTGGCCTCCAATCACTAGATGCCAGTAGCTGCTTCGCAGTTTAACACCTAAAATGCATTTAGACATTGCCAAATGTCCCCTAGAGGACAAAATTGCCTCTGATTGAGAATCATTATTGAGTAACTGACCCTCGTCATTCTTTCCAGTAACTTTAAGAAATATCAGAAATTTATCACGATGGATGGATGGATGGATGGATACATATATGCCTTCATACTTTGCTTACTTGAGATGAATTAGGACATCTTTGCACTTGGTGTCAGTCCCTAAAGAAGAGATGCTTCCATGTAAATATTTCCCTGCTGCTCAAGTCACATGTTAGCATTCTTTTCTTCTCATTTTTACAAGGAAAGAATTTCCTGATCTATTATTTCATTTGAGTCCAACAATCCATTAAAAGGGAAACCATTATTGCTCCAACAGATATTTAGATGAAGAAACTGAGGGCCATGGAATGAAAATAATCAACTTCAAGGCTAAACTCCAAATTCAGTGCTGCTCCTCTTCCTGCTATGGAAAGCTTGCCTCTGTCTCCCCCTCACTGTAACCCTCATTGTAATGGGTAAACATTAGGGATGGAATCGTAAGGATAATGATGCTCTTCTAAAGTGCCAACACCTAAAATGGCATTTAATCTAGTCAATGTCTAGAAATTGGATTACCCCTACCCAGAGTACATTGTGCTTTAATCTAATTAAGCTCACAATTTTCCATTAGAGCTAACTTCCTATTTACAGGGAATGCAGGAGAGAGAGGAATGAGTTAGACACTAGTAAAGAACAATCAATCAAATCCAGAAGTGGGGACAGTCTACTCTACAAGAAAACTGTGGTCTGAACTCTTCCAAAAAGTCAGCATCTTGAAAATAAACATTAAAAAAAAAGACAAAAAACCATTTAGGGACAATGTTAGATGCTTGTGGAAAGTATTTTGGGATAAAGCACCATGATAAAGCAAATGCATCAACAAAAAAACCCAACAAAGGAGATAGATAGATTGATTGATAGATAAGATAGATAGATAGATTGATAGATAGATAGATAGATAGATAGAATAGTAAAATACTAACTTTAACATATTTTTAAAGTATGTTTTTATTAATTTTAGAGAGGAAAAGAGAGGGAAACATCAATGATGAGAATCACCAATTGGCTGCCTCCTGCACACCCCACATTGGGGATCGAGCCTGCAATGCAGGGTTCAACCAGGGACTCGAACCCTAACCTCCTGGTTCATAGGTTGATGAGCAACCACTGAGCCATGCCAGCAGGGCAAAATTTTTATTTTAATTTTTAACATATTTTATTGATTTTTTTACAGAGAAGAAGCGAGAGGGATAGTTGAAAACATCGATGAGAGAAAAACATCAATTAGCTGCCTCCTGCACACCCCCCTACTGGGGATGTGTTCAAAACCAAGGTACATGCCCTTGACCAGAATCGAACTTAGGACCTTTCAGTCCGCAGGCTGATGCTCTTTCCACTGAGCCAAATCAGTTTCAAATATCCATTTGGCAGGCAAATATTTTAATGGATGATGCATAGGAGAATCCACAGATCATTTAGGATGGGGGCTCTATGGTTATGCTTCAAGAACCCCACAGCTGTGAGCAACATCCTGTGTGCATAAGAGCTCTGCTTTTTTTCTGGAGAGAGGGTGTATAGCTCTTATCTAACTTGCCTAAAGGGTCCCATGACTCCAAAAAGCCTGAAGCCTTGGTTTGTCTGGAGATTTTAGGTCTCGTGGCCACAGAGGTGTGAGAACTTTGGACTTCTAAACATTTCCCTGCTGCTCAAATTATATGTTGGAGATGGCTGCCTAAAGTCACAGGATCTTAGAACTGAAAGGAGACTTAGGAATGATCTAATTCAACCCTGAAGACAAATGCTCTGAAATAGGCCTGCCCGTTTACTTAGTGGTAAAGGCAGAGGCAAAGTCTAGGTCTCATTCCGAGGTTACCACTCTGTTTATTGAAAAAAGGTCAGGCAATTTACTTAGTGATAGAGGCAGAGGCAAAGTCTAGATCTGATTCCCAGGTTATCACTTAGCTTATTCAAAGAACCAGCCTTGTCTGTCAGTCACTTGACCTCTTCTACTTTCTATGTAGACTCAACAAGCCAACAAACATCCTTAGGCAGGTCACACAGCCCACCTGCCCTGCTTCCCCCACTTTTTCCTTCTTTGATATCCCCTCTACTTGCTTACCTGGTTTACTCCTCACCTGCCACATGGTCTCCTTGGGGTTCCACTGACACAAGCAGCACACAAACAGTGGGGCCTTTGCTCTGCTGGTCCTGCAGTGCTCTTCCTCCAGGTACTTGCTTCGCTAACAGCTTCACCTTCTTCACGTCTGCCCAGGTCTTTCCACGTGATTGACCACCTGTTTAATACTGCAGCTCCCTCTACCACCACCCCTAGCGATACTCTGTCTTACTGCTTATTTTTTCCTTATCAACTATCACCTTCCAACAACCTATACAATTTTCCGTTTATTCTACTTTTGTTAATTGTTAAAGTTCCCCAATAGAATATAAGCTCCACAAGGGCAGACGTCTTTGTTTTTTGTTTTTGTTTTAAATATATTTTATTGATTTTTTACAGAGAGGAAGAAAGAGGGATAGAGAGTTAGAAACATCGATGAGAGAGAATCATCGATCAGCTGCCTCTTGCACAACCCCTAGTGAGGATGTGCCCATAACCAAGGTACATGCCCTTGATCGGAATCGAACCCAGGACCCTTCAGTCCACAGGCTGATGCTCTATCCACTGAGCCAAACCGGTTTTGGCAAAAGTCTTTGTTTTATTTGTTGATATATTTCAAGTGCCCAGAGCCGTGCCAGGCACAGAGAAGTACTCAATCCTGGAAATGTTGCTCTCTGCAAATCAGGACTTAATTTCAACTTGTCTTAATAAAGAAGACCACAAAGAGGAAAAATAGATATGTAGGAAAGATGGGGTGGGAATTATACTGGATGTTTTCATTGTTTAAAAGGTTGCATTTGCCCTAGCCGGTTTGGCCCAGTGGATAGAGTGTTGGCCTGCAGATTAAAAGGTTCCGGGTTTGATTCCAGTCAAGGGCACATGTCCAGGTTTCAGGCTTGATCCCCAGTAGGAGGTGTGCAGGAGGCAGCCAATCAATGATTTCCTCTCATCATTGATGTTTCTTTTTTCTTTTCTTTTCTTTTTAAATATATTTTATTGATTTTTTGCAGAGAGGGAAAGAGACTTAGAAACATCGATAAGAGAGATACATCCATCAGCTGCTTCTTGCACACCCCCTACTGGGGACATGTCCACAGCCAAGGTCAAACCTGGGACCTTTCAGTCATTAGGTCGATGCTGTATCCACTGAGCCAAACCAGTTTCAACTCATCATTGATGTTTCTATCTCTCTTTCTCTCTCTCCCTTCTTCTCAGAAATATATATATATATATATATATATATATATATATATACACATATATATATACAATAGTTGGATTTAAGCTTTGGTTTGATGAATGGGTATAGGACTGATAGTTCAGCTCTATTTTGCACAATATCAGCTAGCTCTGCTCTGTACACCAAACAGATTAGCAGTATCTCCTCCCGCTTGAGGGCTTATATGTTGCAATTATCTTGCAATAAATTCCTAAATATTTAGTATGTGAATGACTTCCTAATAAGGTGTTGATTTACTACATCACAGGCATAATCAAGAGGCATCAATTCAGGTCTTTCAGGATTAAGTTTAAAGCTCAAAAGCTTAGCTTCTAGAGCCAAGCAAACCAGCACACAGCGTGTGCAGGAGGCAGAGGAACATTTACACACAAGCTCGGACTTGCAGCTGTGTTTGTCTAAGGCCCCTCCCCCCACCCCCTTGCGTTGGGCCCACTGGGTTTCATCTTGTTCTCAGAGTGAGATTGAAGAGTGCTGAGCGCACAGTGGGGGTTCTGTGATGGGTTCCATAAACAGTCCCTCTTCAGTTTGTTTGTTTGTTTTTCTATTTTTTTTTCTATTTTCATTGAATTTATTGGGTAGATGGGGGTTAACAAAATTATACAGGTTTCAGGTGCACAACTCCACAGTACATCATCTATACACGGTACTGTGTGTTCACCACCCCAAGTCAAGCCTCTGTCCACCACCATTGATCCCTCTTCTACCCTCCTCCGCCTTCTTTCCCCCCGCCTCTTACTCTGCAGTTTCTAAGCTTTGGAAAGAAACCCTGATCTAGTATTTAGGAAATCTACTTGCATCTCCAAGTGTGGATGTGGATATCCATTGCTAAATTTGACCAAAAACTAAGGCTAAACTTCAGAGAGGAAAGCATGTCAGCTGAACACTCCGAGTGTTTTGCTAGCAACACTTCATTGTAAACATGTGTGTATGATCTTACCATGACCTCAAGTTGTAGATTAACAAATGGACTGAGTGGTAAGGGATTTTGAAAAATTAGGACAAAATGTGGCCAGGTATTCTTTCTCCACCCTCAGCGTATTGCATACCTGGGCCTTTCAGAAAGTTTTCTCAAATCACAAAATTCTTCTCATCTCTGTGGAAAAAATCTCATTCTTTTTTCAGTGCAAGGTTACCTGAACCATTACTGGTCTCCATTCATAGTGGCAAACCATTGCCACTGCTCACGTATTTCTGGTTAGCCAGACATAAGGAAAAGAGGTTCAATGAGAGGTTCCTAAAAAAAATAAAAAAATAAAAATAAAATAAAAAAAGCCTTCCTTTGTGTGGTCTCTCCCATCCAAGAGTTTATAGTCTAGCCTGGCCAGTGTGGTTAGTGGTTGAGTATCATCCCATAGACCATGAGGTTGCCAGTTGGATTCCCGGTCAGGGCACATGTCCAAGTTGCAGGCTCATTCTCCACCATGGGGTGTGCAGGAGGCAGCGAGTTGATGTATCTCTCCCATTGATGTTTCTATCTCTCCCTCTCCCTCCCTCTCTCTCTAAAACCAATAAAATCATATTTTTATAACAATAAAAGGAATGGCAAATTGCTCTGGCTGGCTAGCTCAGTTGGATAGAGCATCATTCCAATATGCCAAGGTTTCAGGTTCAATCCCGGTCAGGGCACATACAAAAGTAACCAATGAATGCATAAGTAATGTGACAAGTCAATGTTTCTCTCCTCCTCACCTCCCCCACTTACTCTCTCTAAAAATCAATGGAAAATATATCCTTGGTGAGGATTAACAACAAAAATGCTCAATAATTTATTCATATAATTTTTTGTCAAGCACAGAGTCTTTATTTTACATGTCATTTCCAAAGAGGACAGTTTGTAAGTCAGCGGTCAACAATTTCTAAGCGAGAAAGTGACAGCAAAGGTAACTGGCTCAACTCCCTCTGTCTACACCATGTACATTTCATATCTGAGTACCTTGTGTGTCTGGCTTAAGTGAAGGTAAGGCAGTGTAGATGGTGCAAACAAGAAATCTGTGTCCTGTGTTCAAGAATGGCTCTACATGCATCACGCAAAACGTACAACCTGAAATGTTGATCTGCAACCGAAGTTTCCTCAAGCAAAGATGCGTGTGAACAATGACCAACACATACAGAGCAACTTTGGCAGAGAGAATGGATAATGTCGTGGGGCAGCAAGGTTAGCGCACTGATCAAGAGCCCCAAGCAGGAGGAGCCGTCCCAGTGAGCAGCAGCCATCTCTCTCCACCTTCAGTTCCTTCCTGCCTTCACTCTAGGTTGAGCAGCTCCGTGTCAAAGATGAGGGTGGCACCAGGAAGGATGACACCAGCATGGCCAGTGGCTCCATGCGCCACATCAGTGGTGCAGGTCAGCTCCGCCCTCTGCTCCAAGCTTATCTGGGCTGTACTCTCTTCAAAACCCTGGATGACTTCCTGTTTGCCAATTCTGAACTTGAAAGGTTTGTTTCTGTCCCTGGATAAATCAAATTTCTTTCCATTTCGGAGCATTCCTGTGTAGTACACCACACACGTCTGGTCCTTCTGGGGGAATGTCCCTTCATCTCCCAGGGAGACGGTCTCAATCTCCTTGCCCATTGTGTCCCACTGGCCTGCCTCCGAGAGTCCCAGTGCTGCCCTGATCCTGGCTAGGCTCGCTCTGGCTCCAGATCTCTCAATAAATATTTGCTGACATGAATAACACCAATGATTCTGTGTGATCTGAAAGAAGCCTACTTAATGTCAAAGTCTCCTCTAATCATTAAGTCTGAGAACCAATTAAAGTTTTTAAAATGACTATCAATCCCGATATGGTAGAATTAGTCTTGAATTCCTAAATTTAATTCTAAATATTGTCACAACCTGAGGAAAATGGTTTAGGCACAGATACCAAGCTAAAAATAAAAATAAAAAAAATCAATATATATAAAAGCCTAAGTGACCGGCCACTACAGAAGCAAAAATCATATGCATGAAAACATGCAACAGAATGATGAATCTTAGAGGGAAGGGGGATGGCGAGAGGGTGGGAAAAAATTAACCAAAGATCTTATATGCATACTAGAGGCCCTCGGCCTGGCCTGTGCCCACATACTCAAGGACCTCTCGGGGGATGTCAGACTGCCGGTTTCAGCCCATTTCCCATAGGCCAGGCCGAGGGACCCCACTGGTGCACAAACCCGTGCACTGGGCCTCTAGTACATAAATAAATAAAGGAGGAGGGGGCACCCTCTCTGTAATGCTATCCTGCTATGTTGTGTAAGTGGTATTGTATTTAAAACAAATGTCTCCCCAGGTGTCTATTTCTATCTAGGTTGATTGAATGCATTCAACATGTTCATTGTTCAGCCTCAGTTTTGTCATCCTGTTTGTTTTTTGTGAAACACTATTTCAAAACGTAGCTCTTTTCAGAAGAGCATCTGCCCATTCGCCTACAGGCGTCCCCAATGGAAGGCGCTTGGCGTACACCTGCGCAAGCCCAGCTCCAGGCACACACCTGGCACATGACGCCCTGCCCTCTCAGGTGCACCCTCTGGGTAAACACAAGCTCTTCTGGGCTGCCGCCACCTCCACGGGTTCCAGTTTCACTGTCCGCTGTATCGCTGATGCCAGGACTAAGGACAGTGAACTTTAAAAACAACCTTCCCTTTCTTCTCTAATCTGGTAGGAAAACAAAGCCCAGTCAGGAACCAATTAAGTGAAAGAGAGTGTGGCAAAATCAAACAAACAATGAACCTGACTTTCTCTGACACAGGTCCCAGGGATCTCCTGACAAGTGCCAGGATCTATGGGACAGGCTGTCTTGGAGAGCCTGGCTGAGGGACGATTGCAGGGATCATGGTACTGTACAACATTGAAGCAGGTGCGAGGAAAAATAAGGGGATGGAATCGTCTATTTATAGTATCACCGTCCTCCTATCACCTACTGTTAAACCTTAAAAAAGCTTAAGAGCCAGGTCATCAGAATCATTCTCTCTTTAGGGCACTCCCAGGCAAATATGTAACTTGGGAATTATGAGCTCTCAAGTGTACAGTGTCGTTTTACTGAGGGAAAACAGGCCCAGAGAAGGAAGGAGACTTTTGCCAAGATGATGTGTCATCTGGTAGCAGAGCTGACAATACAACCCAAGGTCCTCTTAACACCCTCATACCTTCCCAAAATGTGGTCTTGCCCCCCCAAAGTAGCTCCTTTCCTGGTTTTCCTGCTGCTGTCAGGAGCCCATTTCTTCCCATTCAGTGGGACCAGGGATCTGAGAGCCATTAAATATTATTATTATTATTATTATTATTATTATTATTTTATTGATTTTTCACAGAGAGGAAAAGAGAGGGACAGAGAGTTAGAAACATCGATGAGAGAGAATCATCAATCAGCTGCCTCTTGCACACCCCCCACTGGGGAGGTACCTGAAACCAAGGTACATGCCCTTGCCCGGAATCGAACCCCGGACCTTTCAGTCCGCAGGCCAACACTCTATCCACTGAGCCAAACTGGTCCCGGCTAAATATTATTTTTTATCCCACACTTCCAGGTAGTGAATCCTACAGAATCTTACTTTAAAATATCTTACCCTCGTCCAGTTGCCATCACCCTGGCAGTGCTGCTTCAGTCCAGGCTCCTGTGGCTTCCTTGCCTCTGACCTCTCTCTGGGTCCACCTAGCAGACAGCTAACATTCTGACCAGAGCTAACAATTGTCATGCGTCTACATTCATTATCTCATTTGTTCCTCAAAAAAACCCCAAAACAACAAACAAACAAAAAACCACAAGAAAACAAACAAACAAACAAACAAAAACTGGATGCTTTTATTACCCCCATTTAATAGATGAGGAAACCGAGGCACAGGGCAGGTAAATAATATGTCTATAATTGTGGCAGGACTGGAATTTTTAAACCAGATAGTTTGGTGCCGAAGTCCAAACTCCAAACTGTGATACCATATAGCTTTTTCCTGAAGCACCAATATAACCATGTCACTCCTCCGCTCAGAAACCTTCTGTGGCTCTCCTCTGCCTGCGGCAGTTCAAAGTCCTAGTGGACACGCACTGAATGCTTGCTTCGGCTCTCCCGAGCCTTCAGGTATGTTAATTAATCTCCCAGTGTCTCACTTTCCTGATTTGTTAGCTGAGGGTGATCAGAATAATAACCACTCCATGGGGCTGCCCTGAGGATTGAACGAGGTCGCCCAGGTAAAAGCACTTAGCTTGGTTCCCAGCACAAAGCGACTCTGATCCACCTTAGCTACCTTTGGACCCTTTTTCTCCACTTCCTTGTAGGACTCCTCTGACTGGGATGTTGCTGCCAACAGCGCTTGTTGCCAAACTCCGTGCAGTTTTCCCCTTCCAGGAAATTGTCACCACTCCCACTGGCGTACGAATGCCAGCATAGCCTGATCTTCCCGTCTCCCAGTCTCTCTTCTTCAGTGGCCCATACCCCGCAGGAATCCGAATTCCTGGAACACTTACTCGCACCAGACTTTGCTTTGCACACTGTCTCGTGTGTTTACTCATTTGTTAATCGCTTGTTCAAGTGCCTCCTCTAACAGTAACAATAATTGTGTTTGAAGTCATACTTTACCGAGGGGTTCCTGTCACACAACCATGCCTCTGTAAATCTTTACAAGAGCCTTGGACATTCCCACTTTAGAGTGGCTTTAGTTTCCTTGACTGTTCAGTCCCGGGGATCCCCATCTTCAGGAAGCTGGCAGGTTTGTATGCAAAGCAAGGTCTTCCCACACACGGTGAAAATCAGGGCAGACAGTGGCAAAGTCTGGTGGAGAAGATGAGAGATGGTGCCATCAGTTTTCAGGCACAAGTGTGGCTCTGCCTGGGCATTTCTGCACTTCACCAAGCAGAGCCGAGGCAGCAGATGCAAACACACCCTTGCTGCAGCGAGACTTTCGCAAACAAAAGCTGCTTGCTCTCCAGAAAATCCTTGATGTCCTGAGAGGTGGAAAGAACAGCTCTGGGAGAAACACGGACTGAACTGCCGCCTCTCCAGGTAGCCGGCTCTGCCCTGGCTGACTTCTTTCAACGTAGAGCTGCAGGCTGCGTGGCACAATCTCCTGATCTCTACGCCATTTCCCGAGGGAGAGGGCAGGCCTTGATAAATTTGATAAATATAAATTATCTGGAAGATTTTGCTTTGTGAGGCTGATTTTGCTTTAACATTTCTACTGATGTTCTTTTATCGAGCTGGTGAGGCAGGCTTGGGCAACAGACGCAGTGGCCCAGGAAGGCACAGTGGCACCCTGTCTTGGAGAGGACTTGAGAGGGGCCCTTCTACAAGGAGGCATGGGGACCCCACTAATCATTTCGGGAGCACTGAATGAGTCACCTGCCAAGGTAGGTCGCTCTGTCAAAGAGGCCGATGTCAGTCCTTCAGGGAGGTCTTGATTTCTTCCCTTCATTGTGTTTTTACAACTGTAATTCAATATACAATAGAAATCAGTTTCCTGTGTAGTGGCACTATCTAGCAATTTTTCATAGACATTTATACCCTCTGACTCAGAAACTTCACTTCTAAGAATCCATCTTAAAGACATATGGTCAACAAATACAAAAACTCAGTAATACACACGAGGACATTCATTGCAGCCCTATTGGAAATAGCAAAAGACTGGAAATCAACAATGGCTATCCTAGGGACTGATAGATAAACAGGGTGCCAATACACGACAGAGAACTATGCAGCTGGGAAAGGAAATGAATATTTCTATATTACATGGAGTGACCATCAAGATATATCACTATGTGTGAAGTGCCAGATTAAAAAAAAAAATACTGTTATCGTATGCTATCATTGGGGAGATATAAATATATTATATATGCTTATTTAGTTATAGAAAAAACAGAAGAAAAGATCATTAAAATTTTAAGTTATTTATAGAAATAAAAGGGAAATAGATTGGGATAAAAGCTAGACTTTTCTAAATATATCTTATTTGGTAGATTTATTTTGGAAGTTTGTAGATAAATTGGAAAAGTCAAAACAAGTTTATATTTGACAGAACAAAACAAATAAACTTGTTTACCAAGTTGGGGACATAACTACAGATATGGAATTATTTCAATTACCTTAAGACTCAGGAATTTAACTATACAGTCCTGATAGAATATCCCCTAAAAACCAAGCCAGCTCTGTCCAGGTAGCTCAATTGGTTAGCGCATCATCCCAATACACCAAGGGTGTGGGTTCGATCCCAGTCAGGGCACATAAAGAATGCATCAACCAATGAATGCATAAATAAGTGGAACAATAAACTAATGTCTCTCTCTCAACAACTCTCTCTCTCTCTCTTAATAAATGTTAAAAATTTTAAAAAAGCACAAACCAAACCAAAACTTTAAATTGTTTTTAGTAACGAGAAGTGAAAAATGGTAGGATTGGTTTTGTTACGCAAAGACCATTTGTATATATGGTGGAATAAGACAATGAATAATTTACATTGGTTGTTTTAAAAACTGGGATTCTTGACATGAGAGGATGGAGGTATAGATATAAGGTAAAGTTAAACAGAAAGTCATTAGTCTTGAATTTGAAACAGAAATATCAGTATGAACTCATAATATATTTTCTTGTAAAAACATTTTTATTTCATTTTTTTTAGAAATCACCACCCATTCAAGAGCAAGAACTGTTTGCACCTAGAATGTGGTCTCTCAGTGCCATTCATTGAAAGGATCCAGAGCTCCTTGGAAAAATGGATGATTCCAGGTGTAGAGTCCTGGGAAGGAAATATTCAAAATGAGCCCGGAACGTCACATTATACACCAGATAGTAAAAAAAACCTGTTGAGGACTTTAGGGTGACATCAATAGGGAGGTGGCCAGCTTTGCCCTGGGTTGTCCTCAGATATACAGCTGCAGGACACATTAGGCATCAACTTGAAGAGCCTCCCACTAACCAAAGATGGGGCAGTATAATTCAATAAGGATTATAACTCCGATGGATTGAAACTCATCAAATATGTTTTAAACCATAAATTAATAATAATTATAATTTATGTATTAAATTTAATTTATAGGGGTGATATCCTATATAATAAAAGGGTAATATGCAAATTGACCCTAATAGTGGAACAACCAGAATGACTGTTGGACCAGTCACTATGAGGCGCACTGACCACCTCTCAGTCCCTTTCCCTGGGCAGCAGGCTCTGATTGCCCATGGCAAATGGGGAACCTGGTGTGGGTGGCAGGGGATATAGGTGGCACTAGGCCAAGGCCCCCATCCTGCCAGTTGCCCCACACACAGAGGGGCTGGGGCATGGTCGGTGAGTGGGAGGGGGGTAGCCGACCTCTCCATCCCTTCTCCCACTGTCAGGCTCCAATGGCCCGATGGCAAAGGGGGAATTGGAATGGGTGGCGCGGGGGGGGGGGGGGGGGAATGGGCTGGCTGCGGGCAGCTGGGGAAGAAGGCCCTTATCATAGGCCAGGCCTAGGAACCATACCAACACACAAATTTCATGCACCCGGCCTCTAGTTAATTATTAAGATCAGATAGGTTTCAAGTAATTTTTTAAAAATTAAATTCTATTGGTCCCCTTTGGTCGATGCTGAAGATCCATTCACTACGGTATTTTGAAATCTACTAAACAGAAAGAAGCAATTATTTTACCCTTCCAATCAATGATAAATATGTTTTAGATTAACCACATAGGTGATCAGGGAAAGCTTCTCTTTCTGATGTATTCCAGCTATTAAATGAAAAAGGAGTAGAAGGATACATTTATCACCACTTTGCAATCCCTAGTGAAGTAATGGACTTGGACTTTGATCATTAATGATTATCAAAAGGTAAATACAGTAGTCAGATATTATCAGATACTAGGTGACTCCTGATGAAATACCACTCATGAAATCGTCTTATGAAAATATATCTGATCAAATTCCGAATTGCCAGCATCACTACCCTTGCGCTTTGGGACGATTATTAATCAAAATAAGGGTTACTTGGACACAAGCACTTCAAAACCTCCACAGTGGGTCTGATAACTGAGGTGGCCCCTGAGTGACTAATGGGTGCACGGGGGCATGTATAGCACAGAGACCCTGGACAAAGGGATGATTCACGTCTTGTGTGGTGGGGAGCCAGACAGCAAGAGACTTCCTCGTGCTACTCAGAACAGTGAGGAATTTAAAACTTATGAATTTATTATTTTTGGAAATTTCCACTTAACATTTTCATTTTCAGACTGCAGTGAGCTTGGGTAACTAAAACCTTGGAAAATGAAACTGAGGATAAAGGGAAACTACTGTGCTGAAAGTTTTATGGTTGACAAAGATATGATATCATCTGCCTCAGAATAATCCAGAGAGGGATTAGTGATAAAACTTGAGTTATTAATTGTTATGACTGAGTGATATGATCATGGGGGTTCATTGTATTATTTTCTCTCCTTTTGCTTATGATAGACATTTTTCATAGTAAAATAAACAGAAGGAAGGAAGGAAGGAAGGAAGGAAGGAAGGAAGGAAGGAAGGAAGGAAGGAAGGAAGGGAGGGAGGGAGGGAGGAAGGAAGGAAGGAAGGAAGGAAGGAAGGAAGGAAGGAAGGAAGGAAGGAAGGAAAGACTGGCCAAAACTGTTTTGGCTCAGTGGATAGAGCGTCGGCCTGTGGATTGAAAGGTCCCAGCTTTGATTCCAATCAAGGACATGTACCTTGGTTGTGGGCACATCCCCAGTAGGGGGTGTGCAGGAGGCAGCTGATCTATGTTTCTAGCTCTCTATCCCTCTCCCTTCCTCTCTGTAAAAAAATCAATAAAATATATTTAAAAAGAAAGAAGGAAGGAGGGAGGGAGGGAGACAATGAAGCCAGAATAGAAAGGATGCCTTTTCTCTTTAGTTTGGGGAGTATCCCTCTGCCCTCGGATCTGACTGCTGATGTAGCAGTAGTAAGGAACATTTCTGCAGGAATGGTAGCTTTTCTTATTGGTAAATTTAATCTTTTATTCTTTTCTTTACATTTATTTACGAAGCAAGTATTAAGTGCCTGCTAGGGGTGTGTGGTGTGTGTGTGTGTGTGTGTGTGTGTGTGTGTGTGTGTGTTTGAGTGCACCACAGAGCATCATAAGAACTTATATGAGTCCCAAGCAGCCATGTGGTATAGAGAAAGAAAGTGGGTTTTGAAGCTAGAGTTGGCTTCAGTCATGGCTTAGCCACTTACTAGCTGTGTGGCTGAGACAAGTCCCGGCCCTGAACCCAGTTCCTCAGTAAACTGGTAATAACATTCACCACCGTTGGGTTGTTGTCAGAATTAGAGATAGCCGTTGGAAAACACTTGGCAGAGTTCCTGGCACATGGTGGCCACTTCTATGTATTACTGGAGAGAAGTTTGTCCGTACTTTGGCCTTTTATCTGTTTGGAATAGCTGATACAGAGCCCCAGGTGATAAGACTAGTGGGGGTGGGGAGAGGAATCCAGGAATTCTTTCTTCCTAGAAGGGGAAAAACAGAAAACGTTGCCTGACCATTCTTCTCGTTCTTCAGGGCTCCCTTGAAGTTCCATCTCCAGGCAAAGTTAGTGTCACCTCCTTTCTCCACAGAATTTTCACAAGTCTATTTCAACAAAGTATTGATTCTTCATTAGTGTCATATATATATTTTATGAATACATCTGCTCCTCTTCCATTTCCCTCCCCTCCCCCCACCCCCAGGTTATAAACTTCCCTCCAAGGTAAGAGCCCTCATGATCCTTCTTCTCTCTGCCAGGCGCCCTGCACGGTGCCTGACACATTGTAGGCCCTTGAACAATGCTGGCTGCCATAAAAAAGGAAGAAATTCTCATCATTTGCAGCAACCTGGGTGGAATTGGAGAACATCATGCTGAGTGAAATAAGCCAGCCAATGAAAGAGAAACACCACATGACCTCACTCATTTATGGATAATAAAGAACATTATAAACTGATGAACCAAAAGATAGATATAGAGACAGTAAAGCAACAAGCAGACTGTCAAATTACAGTGGGGAGGGTAGAGAGATCTGGGGTAGATAAGAGATCAACCGAAGGACTTGTATACATGCATATAAGTACAAGCAATGGACACAAAACTCTGGGGAGGGAGGGTATGTATGGGAGGGAGGAAGCAATGGTATATGTACACAGATAATAATTTAATTTTTAAAAAAATGCTGGCTGCCTTAAAGACTTGTCCAGCAAGGGCCAACTGTATGTGGTGGGGAGAATGAGAGCCCACATTTGTCCTCCACTTTTTTTAAAAAAATATATTTTATTGATTTTTCACAGAGAGGAAGAGAGAGGGATAGAGAGTTAGAAACATCCATGAGAGAGAATCATCGATCAGCTGCCTCTTGCACACCCCCCACTGGGGATGTGCCCGCAA